AAAAAAAAAAAAAAAAAAAAAAAAAAAAAAAAAAAAAAAAAAAAAAAAAATTAACGTACGTGAATCGGCGAGTCACTGTGCAGAATCTTCCGGTTCTCTCTAGAACCGGACGATTCCCACTTTCTTCACCGATTCGATCCGTCCATGGTGATTCTCGAGTCGAACCGGGCGGCTTTTTTTTAAACACTGATTGAAACCATATATCTCGATACTATTTGAAGGGGAGCTGTAATTTGATTGTTTAGGGCCTCGGCTCTATACAAACCGCACCCAAAAATATGCATGTAATTTCCAAACTTATTCTTGATTGAAGGCGTCGCCGTTGAGCTCACAATAACATGCTTTTTGGTTCTCTTCTTCTTAAGTTGAGACCAAGCAGTCTAAGCTTGCCCTACGTCACTGCTGCTCCTCTGTTTCTTCGCTGCGTCACCATTGCGGCCATGGGAGAGAGCTCCGAGCTTTCTTCTGCTTCTAAATGCAATAATCTTTCTCATAAGAAAGATGAGGCCTATCTTCAAGCTGTTATCCAGAAGCGTATCTCTCTGTTTGAGAAGATCAAAGCAGAGCAGCTAGCGCATCGGCAAGCAATTGGAGGAGAGAAAATCAAGTAATAATGCCATCTCTCTCTTTCTTTCTAATGGAATTAACTGTTTTTTTTTTGAGTCGGGTCTGCAACTCCCTTTTTTTGATGAAAGTTAGGTGGTTTTTCATTTGGGCTGTGCTTGAATTTATCTCTCTGTATTTATTTCTCTATCTCTCTCTATTTTATCGAAGACATTGTCTCTTTGAGTTGGGGTGTCGTCGAATCCTTTTTTTATATGTAATGATGGTGGTTATTGAATTGGAGTGTGCGTCAAACTCGTTTTGTTGATGAAATCACCCACTGTCCTTTTTTTTTTTTGAGTGGGTAAGTCTCAAACTCCCTTTTTAATGAAATATCAGTGGTTTTTGAATTGGGGTGCGTTCAAATGGGTGCACTGCAACTCCTTGTTGCATTGGTTTCTGAACTGGGTTATCCTTAAATGTGTTTGCTTCAATGTTTCTTAGTTGTTCTTGATAACTTGAGACTTTTGTTGATATCCTGTCGTGCTGTAATCCAATGTTTTCGAAATTGGGGTGTTTGCAAATGCAATACATGCCTTTTTTTTTTCTCATGACCAAGTTACTTCATTGTGCAATTTTTTTTTATTATTTTAGATTTATGATGGTTACTATTATGTATTGAGTATTACTTTGTCTGGCCTTTCTTTTACATTCATATGAAGACTGCATTTCTTTTTGTAAAAATTGATTTGAGAGGAATTGCGTTCATGATGATTGTGAATTTTTTCTGGTGTGACGATGCACTATGGGCAGCTGTTCATGCTTTTTATTTGCCTTCATAATTTAAGTTCCAATGGTTTTTTTTTCTTTCAAACATTTAGATGTTTATTTAAAGCTTTGGTGGTCTTTTAAGGTGTTTCTTTCTCTGTATCCTTGATTTATGCTATTAAAAGAAGGAAATTTATGGTCACTCTTCGTTTACTTTGTAGGATCACATTGCCTGGTGGTAAGGTCAAGGAGGGAAAGAAATTGATAACATCACCGATGGACATAGCAAAGGAAATATCCAAAAGTCTAGCGGGGAATGCTTTGATTTCCCAGGTTTGTTTCTATTTCATCCGTATCAAAGGATATTATGCTGGTAAGACTAGGACATTTGTAGGAACACTTCCTGCTTATATCTTTGGATTGTTCAGGTTTGGCCTAGGTACATAACAATTTTCACATAAATTAACATAAAATTGATATCTAGGATAACTTATTTCTCAAGCATGGGTTGCTTCCAGTTTAGGTACCCAAAAACTTGTTTATGAACCCCTCTTGAGGCGTATGCCTGAAGGAGTTCTTCAAGGTGTGCTACACATTACAGGAATTAAGATTGACCTTTATTTTTGAGTTATTGTGGGCCTGAATCTGATCATAAGGTGCATGGTTTATTCATTTCAACTGGCATTTCTCTCGCTTGAGGCATAGTCTTCTAACGTAATATTATCTCTCCTCCAGAATTGCTAGCTAGTTATCCAATAACCTGGCCCCTTGAAAGTTTCATTTAACATGGTCATTGGATAGTGTCAGGAATCTCATCAATAGATATATGATTCTCTGCTGAATCAATCACTTTACCAACTAATGGATGATAGTTGGGGAAGCACTTTCACCTCCCCACATGGTTCAAAATAGATAGACTTAACAAATAAATTTCTAGATGGTTCTGACTCTCAACTTATTCTATCCACCCAATGCATCTTTTTACATGCATGTTGAAGCACATGTTAACATCAATGAACAATGGCCAACGCATCAATCTCCACATCCATAAGGGGCTGCTTATGGAAGTAGTCTTTGATTACTAAATCAGGTTTATGGGCAAGGGGCTACCTGAAGAAAGTAATCGATAAATGCATCACAAGGCAGTCTCTACCCTGTGTCCATTGTTTATTATAATCCTCAAACTTCACATGGTATTATTAGTTAGGTATCCAATGGCTTTCCCAAAAACTGAAACAGTAGCCATTCCCTTCAATTTTCTGTGCAGCACATCTGTCCCATATTGTAGATATTTCCTAATTATCACCTACCACCAAAGAATCAGTTCTTCTATGCCACCCTTCACAAACATGCTTTATTAACCAACTTAATATCTTGAATGTCCCTATCATCATTACATGAAAACGCCATTCCTGATCTCATTATTCTGACTACACATTGTCTTGGGGATTCTGAACAAGAATAATAGATGAGAATGTTAGCTGAGGTGGATTTCATGATACACATATGTCCACTTTGTGGTAAAATTTGCTATCTCTGTAAACTTTACAGGCACTTGGTCTACATTTGTTTCTGCGATGCTCCAGAACGAAGGGAAAGACTTAAAAGTCATTAGAGGCACATCATTATTACTTGTGAACCTTTCCATAACCCAAATTACAGTCTTTTCTCTTTCACACTGTACCCTTTTCTTTTTTTCTTATTGCTATCTCGAAATTCAATTTTTCTTTGATGTCTTTTCAAAGCATGCAAGTAGAAATTCTAAAGCTGGAGTTTGTTCAATAGATTCTTCAAATGGCTGTATTGTTACCAAATTGGCTTTTGAAAATTCAACATGGCATCCCCAGGATTTTCTCTTTTAATCTCCATCCCTGAAGCAAAACCCCAACCTAAGAATCATGCTAACTTGCTTAGGGATCTTGTCATAGCAGTAAACACAAATGGAGACTATAGTTTCTCATTGTTGGGGTCCCTAGAGCTTTAAAAAGCCTCCTTTTGTCTGCCATTCTTTGTGGGAAAAAAGAGTAGCCATTGAAATGGATGTTGTTATCCACATGATTCATCTGTTAGATTTCACCAAAACTTTATTTGAGGAAATGTTAACTTACATGGTGACGGTTATACCCCTTCTTGAAATTTATTGATAAACTATTCTTGGATATTTAGTTTTGTGCCTTTCTGTCTTCTGTTCTTCATGGGACAAAAAGGTAGTCATTGAAATGCATGTCTGAATCCACATGATTCATCTCTTGGATCACACCAGAACTCTCTTCGAAGAAATTCTAACATACATGTTCATATCCCTTTAATATTTGGAGTAGACTTGCTTTGAATATTTAACAGTAGACTTGCTTTGAATATTTGGAGTTGTGCCTGGAGTTGATCTCATGAGCCACCTGAGCTACTTTTAAAATTTTACTATTTTAGCAAAGTCCTTGTAGGTTGGGTCTATGATGAAATGCTTGATCTTGTTAATTTTCTGGATGGGACTCTGGCAATGATTTTGCATAGATGCTGACCGAGTTTATGGATCTAAAACAATGTTTTTTATTTTTTTGAAGCTGTTAACAGATCATGGGTCTAAAAACAATGTTACCCTGACATTTTATTTGACTCACCATGGTATTGTGGACACATGACACTTTGGCACCTAAAGAGATTGTTTGATTTTAGATTCAATTCAGCATAATTTTAATTATTAACAACAATATATTCATACATCTTAGATTATCTTAACATTTATTATACATTATTTGTCTCACGATCCTAGATTTTAAGGTTTCTTGGATGTTCATGGTGCTATTCATTGGGGATATGAATTGTTCTCTTATTGTAAATTTGTGAGAGAAGTAAAACTTCCTCCAGTATAATTTGAGAATTTAAGGACCCCTTTTCCTTGAATAGTACCATGAGGAGTTAATTATGTCAGTTGGGTTGGATGCTTGGAAATGGTTGGAGTCTTGATGTCATGAGGCAGTGGAAAATTTTAAGGGCAGTAGATAGAGCTGCTGCATCAGCCATGGGTGTCCTTCTACTCAATAGACGTCTCCTTGTATGTCCGTGTTGGACATGGATGAATTAGAGCTTTCAAAGAGGAAAATGGACTGAATGGTGCTAATTGGAGATGGTCCTCGAAATTATATCATTGAGGCTGTCAATGGAGTCTGGGTTCTTTGTTTCATCTTGATTGGATAATGAAGCCTTCCTAGGGAAATGATTAGTAACAAATATTGATCTATTATGGGGTTCCTTTAATTAGATCATTGTTTCGAAAAGCAGACCGCTCAGTGCATGGGCGGCCGCCGAGGCGGATCTGGGGGCCTGGGCGCATCGCCCAGGCCTAGGCGCCTATAAAAAGCGGAGGTTCCTGGGCACCCACTTAGGCGCCCTGGAAACCACCTAGGCACCCGCCCAGCACCCAAACCTGGGTGGCCGCCAAGGTACAATGCCCCCCCCAGAGGTGGAAAAAGGTTTCGGTGGGGGCTATTTTTGTCTATTTTTTTTATACTAAGGGGCCAAAAATGGGGGGTTTAGGTTCATTTGAAACCAAAAACTGATTAGAGCATATTTTAGAGAGAGAAAGGCCCCAAAAAACTAGTTTTTGGTATTTCTTTAGGATCGAAGGGTTTCTTAAAGTTATGTAAAATTGATCAAAACATCATCCATTGATATTGGGTTCAATTTTTGATGTTTTATGAATCTATTGGGGTTTTTTTTAGAAGATTTTGATTCCTTAGAAGCATCTATAAGGTGGAAGTTTGGAGACTCAGCAATCAAAAAGTAAGTGGTTTTTTTTATTGCTTATATAAGTATTATTTTGAGATGCCTTCTTCGGGATCTAATAGGAGTGGTGATCTCGGTTGGAAATATGGCTACAACCCATATCTTAATGATAAAAATTGCATAAGATGCAAGTTTTGTGAGAAGGATACAAAAGGGGGCATCAACCAGTTCAAGAAACATCTTGTCGGTTTTAGGGGGGATGTTGCACCATGTAAAAAGACTCCTGATGCTGTTAAAGAGAATAACCAATTTTTTGAGTATGGTAAAAATGAAAAAAGATTGAAAGATTTTCCTCCATATCATAGATTAGGTCTGGGGTTCGGGTCAATTATGATGATCATGATAGTGATTAGGATGGGATTGGGGAGGGATGTCAAGAGCTAGAACAATCCATTATTAGGGGGAAGGGAAAGGGAGTTATAATTACTTCTGGTTCTGAGAGTAAGAAGCCTCGGGTTAGAGGCCCTATAGATAGTTTTTTGCCTCGGCCTGACCCTGAGGTTGTAGGAGAGAAAACAAAGAAGCAAACCACCATTGCAAATGGAATGAAGAAGGAATAGAGAGATAGAGCTGCTTATTATGTTGCTACATGGTTTTATGAGGCGGGCATTCCTTTTATTACCGCTCGCTTAAGCAGCGTCTATGCCACGGTAGAGCCAATTGGTCAATTTGGGCCTGGGATGGAACCCCCAACCCCATATGAGCTTTCAGAGCCTCTTTTGAAAAAATGGTCAATGTCACGAAGGAAGCTGTAGAAGTTACGAAGGATGCATGGGCTCAGTATGGGGTTTCTATTATGACTGATGCTTGGAGTGATAGGAAGAAAATAAATTAGATGAATTTGCTTGTGAATTATCCTTTAGGGACTATTTTTTTGAGGTCTATTGATGCTTCTGATCATATTCATGATGCCTATTACATATTCCAAGTTATAGAGAAGGGAATCAAGGAGGTTGGGGAGCATCTTGTTGTACAGGTTGTCACAATGCTGCTTCTAATGTTGATGCAGCTAATTTCTTTCGCTTAGCTTATCCTAGAATCTTTTGGACATCATGTGCAACACATTGTATAAACCTCATGCTTGAGGCTCTTGGCAGTTTAATCGAGATTTCAGGTGCAATGAAGAAGGCAAAGTCAGTTACAAATTTCATTTATAGCCACCATCTCACCCTCAGTATGATGCGTAGATTTACAAAGAAGAAAGAGATTGTGAGTCCTGGGGTCCTGAGATTTGCGACCTGGTACTTATGCCTAGATAGCATACATTCGAGGAGAATGCAGTTGAGGCAGATAATTTACCTCGAATGATATACACACAAATGACCCAATTATGACTGAATTTGATAAGTGGCTAGATGTGCTAGTCCTTGATCTTGATATCCAGGATATTATATGTGCTGATGAGCTGATGAATTACAAGTGCTCATTAAAGTCTTTTGGCAGTCCAATGGCAATGAGGCAAAGGACTAAAATTGATCTAGGTAATAATAATATTCTTAAGTTCATCAAGTTCAAGTAATCAAGTTTCACTTTAATAATTCTATTATTTATTTATGATTTTATTCTATATCTTTGCAGCCAATTGGTGGAGCCAACATGGGCTCAATTCTCCAAATTTACAAAAGTTGGCCATTCGGATCTTAAACCTAACTACTACTTCCTCATCTGGTTATGAGCGCAATTGGAGTACTTTTGAAGGGGTAAGGCCGTAAGGGTAATTTGTATAATTGTATTAATAATACATGAACCATAGATTTTAATTAGTTTCATTTGATTTTGTTAGATTCATACAAAGAGAGGGAACATGCTTGAATCAAAGAGGCTCAATGACCTAGTTTATGTCAAGTATAATCGATTCTTAAGGGACAGGTTTGTTAATAGAGATAAGAGAGACCCCATTAGATAAAAAAATATAGACAATGCTATGAAGTGCTTAGTTGATGATGATGAGGTCGAGGGGCATGAAGGATTGACATGGGACATGATCATGAATGCTTCAGGGACATTAGCTGACCCTCCTACGGCCACTAGATCTTCTACACAGAGGACGAGGTTGGAGGAAGAGGAGGAAGAAGAGGCAAATTCAGAAGAGATGGAGGTCGACCAATATGTCGAGGAGGGTGACAACTCCGATGGCGATGAATATGATGCAAGTGCAGTTGACCCTATTTCTGATGATGAATGATGAATGTTGAATAATGATTAAACTTTGAACATTGATTGAACTATTGAAGATTCTTATGAGTTTTTCTTGTTCTTGTTTTTCTTGGTTGTGTATTGTGGTTTTGTGGATAGTGGATTTGTAGTTCCACTAGTTTGATTTGGTAACTTTGGTTTGATAATTTGGTTGTTAAATTTTAAGTTTTAATTGGATATGGACCGACTTATGGTTATGCTTATGGAGTGTGTGTCAATGTGTAGTATACTTTGAATTCTGATATGCTCTAAATACCTAATTCTTTTATTTTATACAATATTTAACTGTAGAATCCTTTTTGGATTCAACTGGCCGCCCAGGTTCTGGGCGTCTGCCTAGGCGCTGTGCGGCCTGGACCCCCCAGACCGCGTAGGACCCGCTTAGCATTTTATGAAACTATGAATTGGATTAAATGCAATATTATTTGTGGTTATTTAAGAGCAAGCACATGGGTAATGTTAGTAATTTGACAAGAATGGAAGCTCATGATGTTGGAAAGGTTGAACATGACGGACGGTGGCACTTGAACTATCGGCATAAAAGCCCCAGTGGATGGAATTCTTGAAGCTGAGAACATTCAAGTTCTAATGGGCCGGAGGTTCAAATTCAAACCATCCCATTTTGATTATTTGGGGCTTCGTGGCACCATTCCATCTGAAATACACGCACACATGCACAGATCTTTGAAATCATGGTCTTTTGAAATGGTCGTGGAAAACCCATGGCCTTAGAAATTTGGGGTAACAAATTCATGCATGGAAAAAACTGGATTCTTTGGGAAGTCTTGCTTAGGGATCTTCCCACTGTTGTTGGAGAAAAGGTGCAATGACCTAAACTCCATAGGGAGGAAGTAGTTGGGATATTTGATATGTTAGTGTTTTGATGTTTGTGTGCCATTCAAGTCCTTACTCACTCCATTAATGTATTCAAAATGATACTTATGCGAAGGGAACTAGGATGCCATAAATTTTGGGGTGCAATGTGGGAGACCTTGTGCACTGCTTAAGGCCATTTATCAATTGAGCGTCTTATATGAGATGAGGGCAACTTTTATATGCCTCATGTTTGGAAGTATTTGTGAAACTCTACTGGAGGCTTGGGAAAGGTATCGAATTTCATTGAAAACACATGCCATGGGTTAGGCGTTGGCCAATAATATAAATGTCTATTTTGCCTTGTACATTCTCGTTGGTGTTAGAAAGTTAGTTATTTTTTCTTGTGTTTTTTTTTTTGGGTAAATATTGAAAAAGTTAGTTATTTCTTCTTGTGTTGATCCATGCTCAATGCACAATTGAAAAATTGTTTATAAAAAGAAAAAAACTAACCAATTGGGTTGTGTTACGTGATCAGGTGCAGTCCAAATGAGGGCAAGCTTGATAAGCCTAATGCTTCGAAGTATGTGTTAAGCCCTAGTAGAGGTTTGGAAAAGGTTGTCATTGGAAGATAATTGGCATGTGTTATGGGTTAGCAAATCCAGGGGGAGATATAATCGTCTATTTTGCCTTATTCTTTCTCCTTGGTGTTAGTTTGTATTTCTATTTACTCAATCCACAATTATCAAACAATCGATTATTTTCTTATTGAAAAAGAAATAAAGGATAATTGGCTATCCGTGTGATGAGTAGATGGCCAAAGAGGACGATGCCTGGAAACCTCAACCAAGTGTCATGTCTCATAATATGCCTACCTTGGCATGTTCGTTGGACGTGACACATTGCTTCATAATTGTAGGCTAAAGTTAGTTTTTTCATGGCTATGTGTTCTGGATCAAATACCCATGGGCCGGAGCATCACTAGTTGCCAGTGTGCCAAGTAAAGTAGCTTTGATACTACATTCTATGAAACTTTAGCAAAGGAGAGGGAGGACAAGAGAAGAAAGAGAAATGAGAGTGGCATGGAAGTCAAGGTGGTTGGGACTTCCACTCAATTGATTTGGAGACCCATATACTTTAACATACATAAATGTTTGGGTTTATAGCAATTTACTGTTATATCCTTAGTCCAAAGGAAATTACAATGAGGAACAATACACAAATATTGGGCATAAGAATAGTGAATACTGCATACAAGGATAAAACATATAATAGTGCTAGTACACACATGATCCTCCACCACTAAAAGGACATAGACAGGTGTTTTGGGTTTAACGTAGCTTGGTATGGTTAGTCACTTAGTTGAGGGAACAAACTGACTTGGGGAATTGGACATAAGCATTCTGTATTTCGTGTGCAAATCAATCCTCAAAAGGAGCCTCTGAAATTTGTTTTGATTTTCAAGGGTTGCTCAGTGAAGCCAAAATTATTTACAGTTTTTTTTCCTCTTGTTAGCAAATAAGGTATTGTGTTGATTAACCAAATGATGATGTTGATTAGCCAAACCTTTTATTAACAAAAAGGTGGTGATGTATTATGTATGCTCTTTTAATGTAGGGTCCGTTTTATTGTGGCCATGGTTGCACCAAAACCCCATGCTACCCTTTCCCTCAAAACCCATTTATGGATTAAGGACCCAAAACCTCTCCTAAACACTTGCAAATTCATTTCTTCCCCTAGAAACTAGATTTGAAGTTCCTAAAATGCTGCAATCTGATGTATCTAGGGTCCATTCAAATGGAGGGTCCAGATTAGATGCTGAGAGAGCAGTGAAGACGGACAATTTTTATGGCTTTATATTCATTTCTCCAGATCCATGATAGTGGAGGTCGAAAGGAACTATCTGCAGTTTTTGCTCCTTTGATGTTTTTCTTTTTTTGGGTGTGTTGGGGTGGGGGTACTGTTTATTACTGTACTTTTTCCATTTCTTTGTACCTTAAGTGGACGCGATACACTGGTTTTGACCCACATTGTTTGGGCTTTCTCAGCACATTGTGGTGGTTGTTTCAGAATGTGATTAACACAGAAGAATTTTACATACATTGTCGTAATACTCACCTGTGACTATACAATTGGTTGAGACTTAAATATGTTTTATCATGCTATTCCATCCCTTAATTGGCCCTTCTAAATCCCTTAAATTGTTCCTAGTACTCCTTAAGGAGGACATAAGTTGAAGCATATTGTGCCATGCCCTTCTCAAATTACTTTTGTGTCGCTTCTAAAGTTTTGAAGGATAAAGGGGATGCTAAACTTCCAAAATGGGGATGCACGGTCTTTTAGTGTCGATCAACCATCTCTGCTGTATCATATACAGCCAGAAAGAAAGATAATTAACTGTTGGTATATGTTGTTCCTTAAAATTTGACGATAGCTATAGGAAATAAAATTCAACTCCACTTTTCGTACTTCCATGCAACCTAAGCTCTATGCCTAAGATGCCTAAGATGCTTTCTAATGTCTTCAACTTTCCTGAGTGAGAAAAATGGTACCTGGGGGTTATATTCCTCTGCCAACATGCAGGATTGTGAATTTGTCAAGTTCATGCTATTAATTATCGTGACTTTGGATGATTTTCAGTCTTTTGTACTTATTTATGTCACTCTTAACACTCTGATTCGCCTATTAAAAATATTGCGGGCTTACTTCCTTATATAATTCCCCATGTTCATGTCCTGCTTTATTCAAACTTGTTTTTATGATAGTTGAGTGAGCTATTTTTTTCATTTTGTAATTTAAAATATGGATTCAGTCCTTTTAAGGCCTCACATAAATTTTTTATCTTTTATCATGGTTGGATGTAGGTAAATGGTACTCTATGGGACATGTCAAGACCTCTAGAGGAAGACTGTGAACTAAAGTTGTACACTTTTGACTCCCATGAAGGGCGTGATACCTTTTGGCATTCTAGTGCCCACATTCTTGGACAGGTGCAGTTTTTGACCTCTGGAATTTTTCTGTTGTATAGTTTCTAAGGTTAGTAAGTTTGTGGCATTCTAGACATTGTATATCCCAATGAACGAAAATTCGGCTGCCTTGCCGCCTAGGCGACCTGGCTGAGAAACCACCTAGGCATAGCCTAGGCGGTGGGGTCTGGGCGGGCATGCCTAAGGAAGGCGCTTAGGCGGTCAAGGTGGGCGCCTAGGTGGGCTCAAGGCTGGTGCCTAGGCGGTTTGGGCATCCACCTAGTGCCATCCCTTTAAAAAAAAATAAAAAAGAAAAGAAATTACAAATCCACCCAAACAAAAATAAGGCCTGGTATTGCCCTTCTCTCTCTCTCTCTCTATCTCTTTCTCGGGTCCATGTGCTCTCTCTACATATGAGAAGAAGAAGAAGATGGACTCCAAGTATTCGATGCACGACCTCTCTCTCTCTCACTACACACACAAACATACATATGGACCCATATACTCTCACTTTACATGTAAGAAGAAGATGGCCTTCAAGTGTTTGATGCGAGGTCCCTCTATTGCACATACTCTCTCTCTCTCTCTCTCTCGATATATCCTCCAAGTGTTCAAAACTTCTCTCTCATAAATATAGATCCAAAAGAAAAAAAGAAAAGAAAAGAAAGAGGATGATCTTTAAGAATTTCATACGAGATCTCATGCACACACACATACGTGCGTGTGCACATGCACACACAAAACACGTACACGCACACGCACACATTCATAAAATACGCACACAAAAAACATATGCCCCCCACCCCAACCGCTACTCTTAGGGCTGCCTTTGTGTTTGGCAGGCCGCCTTGGCACCTAGGTGGCCAACACCCTTGGCCTCCTCTACCTTTTTGAACATTGGTATACCCGACAATTCATGGCTTTCTAGTAGTTAGAATTTATTTGAATATATCAGATTAGGTATCAGTGACTTTTACATTGGTGCTATCTTGGATTGTTTATATAGGATTGCTTATATAATATGTTTATATTAGAACTCCTTCTGAAGTTGATGATTGTAATGGTTTTCTGTTTAAATGCAGTCCCTTGAAATGGAGTATGGATGCAAATTATGCATTGGACCTTGTACAACCAGGGGAGAGGTAGCATTTGACTTTATCTATTTGTTCTTATCTCTAAATGAATACACTGGTAAACATACTATCTTTGATCCTAAGCTGTTTTTTATAAGACAATGCACCTTGGCTATCTACCTGTGGCATGGATGGATCTTTTCTTTTTCCCGCTAACTGTTGATACTAACGAATTCTCATAAATTGGTCATTTTATTTTGGGAAATTTACATAGCCCCTTCCCATATGAAAAACACACTCTATTTAAACTTGACATCTGTTTCTCCAACTTTTTCTTTTCCTTATATTGAACCGCTTAAATACGTATCTTGGATAAAAATTCTTTTCTGGACCAAACATATTTCCTGTTTATTAACCATTTACTCTCTCTCTCTCTTTCTCTCTCTCTCTCTCTCTCTCTACGTACGTACTACGTACTACTACGTACTACGTACGTACGTACGTACGTAACGTAACGTAAACTAAACTAAACGTAAACCGTAACGTAACCGTACGTACCG